GTCTACACAGTAGACGTGGATGTAGGAGATTCCTCTCGTCTCCATGTCCTTCACAATATTCTGTGTCCCCAGAGCTCTGTACAGGCCCCCGTTTCCATCTGAATATGAAGATTCACAGAAAATATACAAGTTATGAATATTCACTTGAGTATTTCTAATTATGAATCTTAGCAAGTTAACTGTAAGGCTAATTAACCTGGAGTTTCTTTGGGATATTTTTAATGGGTTTGAGAAAAGTGTTTTTTGACTAAAATAAGGTCTGTGGTTCAGATTACTTGAAGAGGCTTTGATGTTTCGTTCAGCAACATGCATTATTTATAGGCATACCTCATATGTGAAGTTGCTTAAAGTTGTCTACACAACTAGAGATACTAACCTTGCTCTAAAAACTTACCTGGTGCCATGGACAGTTTGCCTTTGCCCTCTAGAATAATTTTCCCATTAAAGTCCACAGCGGGAAGCATGCCTTGCTGAAAGAAAAACACATTCTCTTCCTTCAGGCCGAAGTATTTGTGTTGCATGAAAAAATCTTTGGTCATGTCCATTGTTCTGCCACTTGTCATAATGTACCTGATGAATCAAAACATTGATCATGTCATTGCAAGACCAATCTCTTGACAGAATCTTAGCTTAAAGTGTAAGTCTATTGTTTTTGAAAGGAGTCTTGCTCACCAAGGCTGCATTTATTTGATCTATTTTAATATTTTAAAATGTCATTTACTCCTGTGATCTGAATTTCCAACAGCCATTACTCCAGTCTTATGTGTCACATGATCAGAAATCATTCTAATATGCTGATATGGTGCTCGATAATAATAATTTCTTAACATTATCACAGCTGAAAACAGTTATGCTGCTTAATACAACTTTGGTGGAAACCATGATGCATCATTTTTCAGGATGCTTTCATAAAGTTCAAAAGAACAGCATTTATTTGAAATAGAATTTTGTAAATAAGTTTCTACTGTCACTTTTGTTCAACTTAATGCATTATTTTTTTTCTAAAAAAAAACATATCTGTGGTAAATTACTTTTAAAAATGATGGTATTAGCATGTTTTTTCTGGATGCTAAAATGATGGTAAAATTATGGTGTTCTTTAAAGTATATTGTCATATGACTATGGCGATCATACATGGATACAGTTATTATCGGTCTTTAAATAATGAGCTATGATTAGAGCTGATCATTAGGGCATCATGTGTCATGCGTCAAAGGTCAATTCTGCTGGGCAGAGATTGGCTCTAAAATTCTTTTTCTCTTGAGGTCTGACCTAGTTCCTCAGGACGACATGCTGGTTATGTCAACCTGATTTCACACTGACTAAACCATGTAATGACATTCATAGCGAGGAGGTCACTTGCATTATGGTAAATGGGGAGAAACTTCCTTAAGATCAAAACAAGTCTGGTAATCCAAGTAATTAGATTGAACAATCATTGACAAACTACTTCCTTGGGAATTTGGAAATGGTTGTCTATGGCTTCAAATGTAAGTGCACTGTAACAGAATACATTTGAATTGTGCTTAATGCTCATCTTACCATGGAATACAGCACTTCCTTGAGTGCCGTTTTTCAGCGAGCTGTTCCAGTCTTCTGATGCGTTCCGCCTGGATCTGAAAGAGGGTTTTGTGAGAGGGGAGGTATACGTCATACATGCCTTTTGGATATGATACACCCAGCCGTGTCCCTTGCCCTCCAGCCAATAGAAGAACCGCCACTTTGTTCTCTGATATACAGCGTAGGCCTGTGTGGAATGATGGGAGGATATGTCACTTTAGCAAACAGGTGTTAATACTATGTCATACAATTCAAGGAAAAAACAAACATAGGTCATTGCTCCCATTACATGAGTCCTTAAAGTGAAACATGCTACATTAATGTACAAATAAAAATCAACTATGGCGAGAAAAGAGACGGATGCTGTTGGTATAAAATGTCTGGATTCTTAAGCAACAGTTTGTGTTTAATTATTTGCAGATAACAAGGGCGATTATCATCGACTTTTATGAGGCCTGGTTTATCTAACATAAATTACTGTTATGCTAGATGTTACATCACCCACACACAGCCTTGAATATGCTAAAATATGACTTTTGTGCAATTTAAAAATTAATTATTCAAAAAAAACTTGAATTAAATTAATTTTAAAAAATGAACTGAACAAAGATGACACATAAAAGTCACTGGGTATCATAGTAATGTGGTCTGATTAAAGATGATGTGATGCTGAATGAGCTCAACATGACGTCAGCAAAGCAATTACGTCAAATCTAACCAGAACCAGATGTTTTCATTCCGTTTTGAAGCATCCTCCCCCAAAAATGGAGTACTGGGACAAAACAATGTTTATTCAAATTTGAAACCTATTGTTATTTCAATAACCAAGTGCCTTTTTAGACAGACTCTGGGCAGAAATCCTAAGCTGTTGATTTCTTTTGTCTTGGAGGTCATGATTTGTCTAAGAATGGTTCTCTGGGGTGCATTTGGGTGGAGAAGACATTGCATCACTCATTATGTTTTGTTGTGCAATATTTCTTAGCAACATTTTTTTTCTGCTTAACAAAGACTTAAAATAATTACTATATCACATTTAGGTTATAATATTAAACTAAACATAATCTGGTAAGCTTTTGTAGTTGTTTAAAACAGCCTTTTATATAAATTCCTCTGCCTGTCCGCTTGGTCAGACTCTGAAACCAACTGGCTGACCAGCTAAACTCCAGCTTGGGATGGCACTTAACGCAGAATAATGCGCGAGATGGACCAGCAGTGCTGTGAAACATTAAAATATCTGAACTCACCCTCTTCTTCCCATTCTTTGAGACGTTCACGATCGCGTGTTACGCTTCCCAAAACTTCTCGGGGCACCGGCTCCATTCTGGTGTCCACCTTCTCCTGTGAGTTCTGCCCAGACGTCTTCATGGCAGTTTTAAAGAAGTTATTGATCTCCATGAAGTTTAGGCTCTCCAAATCAACACTCATTTCAGCTTGTTCCTCAGGGCTTAGCTGGTCCCAATATTGGAGAACATGAGACTGCCCGGCTTCAGCGAGTCTCTCAGCCAGTTTGCTGGTGTCCATGGTCTTTCCTTTAGATCTGGATCAGTCAGTGATGGAACAGAGGCGGAAGCAAAGTGACACTGATTATCTAAGAGTCTCACAAACAGATCTAACTGTCTTATCCCCACCCATAAATTGATAACCCATAAATTGATAACTACTCTGTGTACGTGCTCAGTCGAATAAACACGAGGTTGGCTAAATATAAGGTCAGGTGTGATCTTTACCTCTCCTCAAAGATCAATATAATTTTTGACTGGCTGGAAGACAACATAGACCATTTCTGATCAGTTGAAAGCCTACTGGACAGTAATCAAGTTTGCTAAAAATCTGACACTTCCCCCCCATTCCTGATTAAAGATCACACCTGCTGCATAAATTCTTATACGATACATCTTGTGCCTAAATGTTACTTGTTCAACATTAATGAATTAAAACACCTGGTGTATTGACAACAAGGTATCAATGTTTATCATAGCCATTCATAAAAAAAGAAACATATTGTCTTTAGATGTAAAAGCCCGTAAGAATTACCCATATCTAGCCCACATTTGCCCTCAAATCTCAAACTCAAATCGACAGACTGGTAAAACTGTCTTTGACAAGAGTTGCGTGGCGGAACTGTCGCCTGAACCCCAGACTTGACAACAGTACAGCGAAATGTTTTCTGATGATAAATTTAACAACATCATAACATTCTTACCTTTCGAGCAACTGCTGACCACTTAGTATTTCCCTCTCACTTCAGTAAGACTAAAAGACACGGCTAACATCTCGTGAGAGCACCGCCTTTACTGCCCAGGATCCTCCTCCGACATCCGTCTGAGATTGACGTGGCAGGACAAGCGCTTCTTTTCCACACCCATTTTCCAGCAAGCTCCACCTTCTCGGACGAATGGGCGGGTCTAACTGCCTCTATGCAGTCCGTGAATAGACAGGCGAGCTGTCATTCATATAGTCGTAGCCAACAGTGAAACAGGGATCAGGTCAAGCGCGGGACTTGCTCACCAAGAAATAAAAGAGCAACGGAAAAATACATTTTTTTCTTTTTTTTTTTTTTAGCCTTTTCAAACAGTATCTGGGGTGAATTAACCTACGTTTTTCTTGTTGGAGTTTTAATACATGTGCTTCTCCTAATTTCCATTAATTTAATTTAATAGAGTATTAAAAATAGATTAGATATGGGATGAGCATATTGTACATTTTTAATATAGAATTTGCAGATTAAAATATACTTAATTTGCTTGAATGTAAAAAACACGACTTTGAATAACCATGTCGTCTAGTGTTTGAGGATGAGGATCATGATGCTTCTTGCCCATCTCGGAGGTTGAGGAGCACAGTGTGGAAGCTGGAGGAGCTGAACACGCAGCGCCAGCTGAAGCTTGGGCTCTGATCCTCTGGGGTGGGTGGGGCATTACACAAATATTTTATTTATTTATTTATTTATTTATTTATTTTTTATTTTTTTTATTTTTTATTTTTTCTTCAGTACAGATTCATCACTCATGTGCGCAAGATATACAGTAGGTGGCGGTAATACTCCTAAGGAGTGAACGGCCATTGAACAAAAAGAAGAAGAAGAAGAACCATGTCGTATTTATTTATTTATTTATTTATTTATTTATTTATTTATTTATTTATTTATTTATTTATTTATTTATTTATTTATTTATTTATTTATTTATTTATTTATTTATTTATTTATTTATTTATTTATTTATTTATTTATTTATTTATTTATTTATTTTTTATTTTTTCTTCAGTACAGATTCATCACTCATGTGCGCAAGATATACAGTAGGTGGCGGTAATACTCCTAAGGAGTGAACGGCCATTGAACAAAAAGAAGAAGAAGAAGAACCATGTCGTCAACGTTGGTTTGCCAATCCGCCAAAAAAAATCGAGAGAAGGACCATGTCGTCATTTCCGGTATCATGGCCACCAAAACAGTGGCAGGAATTTGTCAACTCGGTCCAAAATTGGGTTTTACGCATCCGCTGTATCTTTGAGGCGCCATCTCGGCTTTTCGGATCTTTAAGATCCGACTATGGTGCCGCACTTCGCACCAATTTGGGCGTTTGTTTTAAAATATGGCATTTGAATCCATGTTCGTCAGCAGTTGGTAGTTAGCTGTAAACTTTGGCATGCAGAAAATCTCTACTTCAGTTTAGAAAAAAAGTTTCTTAAAAGGCAACTAATGGAGCAAACACTACTTATTATAAACCTGATAGTATTTAACTCCGATTATTACTGATATTACTCATGGCTTGTAGTTCTGGCTCCAATGCAAAAATGTCCAGTCCAAATGTCAGCACACCGGCGATGGCGGTGACACCAGACGCCGTGGATCAGAAGACAAGCCCGGTGGTATTTGAGATTTACGGAAAGATCTGGAACGTGCAGGCTCGTTTGGGCCAGGGCGTCTCGGCCTCCGTGTACCGGGTGAACTCCGGCCGGGCGAGCTCTGCAGTCAAGGAGTTCCAGGTGGACGCGCAGGGCGGAAATTACGGGTTCCTCAAGGAAAGCTCTGTGCTGGAGAAGATTCAGGGATATAAAAATATCGGTAAAACACACAGGGATCAAGACAAGCTAACAAATACAAAATTAAACCAGTGGTTCTCAGCCAGGGACCACTCTGCAGACTTTCCGGAGGGCCCCAATATGTCTTAAAATTATTTAGTTATATTAGCATAATCTCAATTAAAATGTTATAAAAATAGAAGTGTATGACATAAAACTGACATAATATAGTTGAGTTTATTTACAACATTAGTATCAAAGGTACATATCAGCTTAGATGTGGGGACAAATGGAGTCAGAAAAGTTGAGAACCACTGATTTAAACAACTCTGTCATTTTATTGGTATTAAAATCATGCACAAAAAGTCATAATATCTGTTGAATTGATGTTCAGTTCATTTTTGTCAACTATTGCATGACACAAAAACAACTTCAAAAAATTCTGGACTATCATTATTTGGGTCCTTTCTACACCGTGACCGAAATTAGTAGTGCACTTTTTCAATTTTTACTCTCTTCATTCACACAGAGCTGTAATCTAGATAAAGATTACAGCTATACATCTTAAAGTTTAATTGCCTGGTTCCATTTGTGTTATTTCAAATATACTTTCTACACAATTTGCCATAGCGATCATGAGTCCTGGAGATCCAAATGCTATTCCAGCATTATAACGCAAACGTTGGTATTTCCTCTCTAGTGACGCTGTATGGAATGTTCACCAATCACAACCCATTTGGTGTGGCCACTCATTGCCTGTTGTTGGAGCTTTTGGATGTGAGTGTGTCAGAATTGCTGGCCAGGGTGAGTAATCAGGGGCATTCCATGTGGTTGATTCAGCACTGTGCCCGTGACGTTTTGGAGGCCCTTAGCTTCCTGCACAGAGAAGGTTACGTACATGCTGACCTCAAGCCCCGCAACATTCTCTGGAGCGCCGATGACGAGTGCTTTAAGCTCATTGACTTCGGCCTTAGCTTTAAAGAGGAACACCAGGTGAGGAGTTGGTATGGTTTGCCTGAGATACCTGATCATTTGCTGTCTGAATTTATTCACATACACTACCGTTCAAAAAATGTGGGGTCTGTATAAAATCAACTTTTTTGAATCTTCAGCCTTTTTATTACTCCACTTTTCAGTGTCTTGTGATCCTTATAAACCATTAATGTGGCGATTATATATGAATCCTATATAAATCATTATAATATGCTGACCTCAAACTTTTAAATGGTAGTGTAGTATTAATGTGCCTCAGTATTTAGAAATAGGTTGGCAGTGAGCCTAAGGGTTCTTGTCTGTTTCTTACAGGATGTGAAGTACATCCAGACAGATGGATACCGGGCACCTGAAGCCGAGCTGCAGAACTCACTGGCCCAGGCAGGTCTGGAGAGCGACTCTGGCTGCACAACTGCTGTGGACCTGTGGAGTCTGGGAATCATTCTTCTAGAGATGTTCTCAGGAATCAAACTGAAGGAAACTGTGAAGTCTCAGGAATGGAAGGTCAGCTGATACCCAAGCAGCTGTGAAGCAGTACTCTACCTTGAATATGACCTTAAATCTTTAATGTTCTGTCAAATGTAAATCTTGAATTTGTGTCAATTTTCTCTTGAGTCTACTGTTGCTCATGTTATTTTGACCTCTTATGCTTGGTAAGACAGCATTGTGTTGTGTCTCTACAGGATAACAGTTCTGCAATAGTAGACCATATCTTTTCAAGCAATGCTGTGGTTTACCCGGCTATCCCTGTTTTTCATTTAAGGGATCTGATCAAAAGGTAGAACGTAATCTAAGCAGTGTACCAGTGTGTTCTTTAAATATGACTAAAATAAGTAATATGTGTCTTTACATTCCCAGTATGCTTCACAATGACCCTAAACTGAGAAGCACAGCTGAGGCAGCATTAATCAACCCTTTCTTCAGCATTCCCTTTGGTTTGTATGAATCCGCATCTAAAGCATTGCTACGTTGCCCAGTGTTTGGTGTTAACACTTTGTGAGTGAGGAACTGCTTTGGGTTTTAGCACCTCATATTGAAGATTTGGTTCTTCTGCCTACACCTGTCTTGAGACTACTAAACGTAATAGACGACAACCACCTGTATAATGAGGATGAGTATGAAGGTGAGTTTTCGTCTTTGTTTTCTTTATAATAAATATATTTTCACTATGGTTTCTTTAATTAGTAGGTCCCAAAGTGACATTTATTTCTTGGCTTTCTTAGATATAATAGAAGATATGAAAGAAGAATGTCAGAAGTATGGCAAGGTTGTATCCTTATTGATCCCAAAAGAGAATCCCGGCAAGGGACAGGTGAGCAAAATGGAATTGCAATAGTGAATGTGAATTTTTCTAGATATTCTCTTCACCTAATAATATCATTATAGCATTTATTTGCAATAAAGCATTTTTTTGTGTCATCTCTATAAAATTGATATGAAAAATATTCTTATCCAGCAACCATAAATGGCTCAAAGCCATGTAAATTTATTGTTCCAAAAGTGTGAGAACTCTGAAAGCGTTAAATATCGCATGCGATTTATCGTGCAGCCCTAATTGAAAGTAATGATAACTTGCAGTTCAGTAAGTCAGCCTGATGTTCATTCGATAACAATTCAGACAGAGGTTCATTCTGAGAAAGATTCATTAAATTGATTCAGACCGATAACTTGTGAGTCATTTTGACACATTCATTTATAGAAACTCATAAGAGTTTATTCTTCTTTTAATTAGACTACACTAGTTACACTGTATGTACACGACAATGCAATAGAAAGACTTATCTATTTATTGTTTTTGTATTTCATTGTTTGAGTTTTAGTGCCTGCTTCCTACTTCCTTTTTTTTCTAAATGATCACACCATAATAAGACAATTATATTTACCACGTGATAGCTGGTTGCTAGACATTCAATACGTATGCTTTCATACTTTGTCATTTTGATTATTAAATTTTTTTTTTATTGCAGTGGGGTTGATGCACTGCTTTGGTTTACACTGCCTTCTAAACAACAGATCACTTCAGAGACTAGGTTTACATGCTTTTTAAATGTCTACGATTCCAAAAATGTGTAGTTTATGTGGCCTGTTCTCTTCCGTTCTTTTTTCCCGTTGTTAGTTTTAGTGAAGGTATGTAGGTATTTCCAGTAATTATGCACATATTTATAAACTACTGGCAAAATGCACAGGCCTGCATGCACTGTGGCGTGGTTAACATTTATGTTCAACTTGACCATGAAAGCTGTTTAACCGCATTTAAACTGAAGATGGAAATCGGCAGAGAGAGCACAAAGACGACAGAGCGGGTAGCCTTATGCTATAGATCATTCTTAAGCGACTTTTATTTTATGTTTGCTTATTCAGGGTTGACTGGAATGAGACTCCATGTCTCAACACAAAAGCCACAATCTGTCTCATCCAAAACCTCTCTGGATATGTTTATTGAACATAATACTATCGTTTTAGAATTTTGAACTTGAATTCCAAAGTATAATATTAGTTTAAGTATAAATTGGGTCTGAAAACTCATCAAAAATATTTCAAGTGGACTTCTTTGGGAAATACTCAAGTGTTAAAATGTGTGGTATGTTGTGCAAAGCAACGTAACTCATACCTTCATAGCACACATATGTGAAGATTCAGAAGCAAGTAATCTACTCTGTATCTTCATTAAGCTGAACTGCCCTGACGCATTGATAAATAATGCTGTTCTAAAACTCACTTTACTATCAAAGATACAGTAACACAAATGTGTTTCAGAAAGGCTTAAAGCTAAAATGCTTTCTACAGACACATTCAAGTCAATTGTATCTGCTGTTTGAATGGATTTACTATCTGTACAATAATGATGAGTGATTTTAAAATCGTAACATTATTTAAAGGCTTTTCCAGTTGTGATAGGTATAGTGTTCCTGGTGTCATTGTGTTTTCCAGTCCGTCTGTGTGTGATTGCATGATGTGGAGTCTTTAATAGTTCTACAGAGCTTTCTGACACGAGCAATTCTTCGTAAGTGTGTTCTCATTTACTTCATGAATATCGCCTGATGGTTTTTTCAGTCATCCTGGTTGATTGTTTTTCTTTCTACCATCCAACGAATGCCATAAAGTCAGTTTTCTCTGTCCTGCAGTCTAGAAATATCACATTCACTTCCAGGGCAGTGAGCTCTAATATGATAAGTGTACAAGACAATGTGAGGAAAGAACAGGCTGGTTTTCTAGATTTAGATTTTAAAAGGAAGTTTAAACTTTAAGAAAACATCCTTTTTTGTGGATTAGATGGCATTGTGGCCAATAGTTATTATTTTTATTCACATTTTGTTTTCTTTTTGTTGGGAATGTTTTAGGAGTGCTATTGTAGGAAAAGGGCACTTTGGTCATTCCAGATCTGGGCTATTTACTTAAAATCTTTATCTGAGCATTGTAAAGAAATTGTGTTTATACACTCATATCTCTCTCTCTCTCTCACATTAATGGTGATGACATTTGAAAGAAATTTTGCAGATGGTGAGCAAGAGATCTTTTAGATCTATGTTGTTTATGAAACAGTGATTTTTTTTATTATTATGTGAATACTGTGTAGGTCTAATGTTAGTCAAGGAAAATTGCTTACATGCATCAGAACATTAATGAGAAAGGGATTTTCTGTAATTTTATCAAATGGGAAGATTCCAGTTTGACAATCTAGCTTGATGTTGAAGTGAAGTCTTCTTAAATGAATGATGAAAAGATTCCAATTCATATAAGTGAATATTAGTGCATTTGACATAAATGTGACAACAGCAATAGTCAGTTTAAGTGCATATTGTGCAGGTGAGCCATCATTACTTAAATCCAGCCCGTTATTAATATAAATCCACAATAAAATTAAAAAATGATCAATTACTTTTTGCTCAAGCAATATCATTAAAGCTGCTCAAATAGAGCCCTGAGGCCCCTTCTAACACTTTCGAAAAGCACAACGATTTCTTTTCATAATTAACTACTGCATAGAACCTGAGATGGGTGTCTGTCAGGGATCATTTCATGCTGCCTTAATTTTTTTGTATGCTGTAATAATATCAGTCAGTAAATGCTAGACCGTGAGAAAAGTGCCAAAATTGTTTCAAAGCCTTCCTTTTTTCCCTGCCACCAGCAACCCTGGAGAAATACCCAGGGAATCCATATATATACCTTTATCTTGAATTGCATTTAAATGCCTTTAGATGTGTCCAGAAACATGAAAATGTGTTCCAGTTGGATGCCAGAGATCATATGAACAGTAAAGCACAGTGCTGGAGTTTGGCTGGCCTTTGTGTTTGTGTAGTGAATAATGAACCTCCCAAGAGGAAACACTGCAGGGTGTAACCACAGATAGACATGGGAGCTCTTTGGGCCTTATTAACTCGAGAAAGGTTGGAGAACTACATGGCAGCTTGAATGGTGAGAAAGATTTTGAGTTTGTTACTAATCAGGAATAGAGAAAATGCATGTGAACGTTCTTGTCTTCTACCGTCATATTTATGATCATAATTTCTTTTGTAACCCTCTTTAAAAATGTATTAGCTGCTTTATTGGTTTCAATATTGCAATAAAGTCAAGTCATATCACACATATCTTATAGCATGCATATGACCTTTGAAGGAAAAGGGCAAGAGCTCACCTGACAGTACAGTACAGTCATTTAATGGGGAAGTGTGAACATATAAGGCAGTAAGGTGATAAGTTGACATGAATCATGTATAGATAATAAAATATAAGGGTATAGGTCACAGACTGAATATGTGGCTTTGCTAAGGTGAAAAACAATCAAGAAAGTCTTGTATTATGGAAATCAGCTTTTTTCTGCAATGCGTTGAAGTATCAGAGGTTTAGATGATTCTTCAAATCACTTGTTAATTGGAAAGCTGAGTAAACACAACAGAAGCGAGTTTATGTGTGATTATTGTTTGCAGTGAAGTCATGGTAACATGCATGACATCACAAAGGTATATAATGCGTATAGTAGCATGATCAAAAGGTTTGTAGAAATAGTGTTTACAGTACATTTGTGGTACATAAGTGCATTACAGTGGTTGAAGTGCAGGGTTTATAGGATCAAAGCAGTTAGGATAATGATGTGAATTCTGATGAAATGTCTCTCAATGTTTTGTATGTAGATTCTATTTATGATTCTTCCCTTTAAAACATGTTTATGTGCATTCATCTTTGCCAATGATTTCATTGTTACTGAAAATTCCCTCCAAAGCATTAAAAAAGTTTTACAGTCTGACCTTTAAATAGATATTTTGCAAATCTGTTAGTGTAGATGTTTAAAGTCTAAACCTCACTATGAATTTGGTAACAGGAGATTAAAATGGTAAATAATAATTGAATTATACATTGGAGGTGTGGTGCTGGTGGCCTGCATTACCATTATGTTGCTCCATATGCAGACAATCATGTGCTCTTGTTAAACCTTCCTCGTTTCTGTCTTATCCCTGTGGCTGAGATGTGATTGGGCGAAAGATAATTCTTTGTGAAGCTCTGCCTTAAAGTCCACATTATATGTGGCAGGGAAAACAAACCTAAACTTGAATTTGAACATGCTACAAAGTATAAAAATGATCTAACATTCAGTGTGAGGATGAGTGTTTTCTGTATTAGGGTAAAAAGATGTTGTAGATGTCATTTGTAAAATGTAAGTTGAGCAGATGATAGTTCAGTAAGGATCATGGGAGACTGTGACTTAAGAGCTCTGGATGGAATGAATAATATTCATGTTTCTCACAATAAAATGTTAATGTCCGTATCATGACCTTGTGTCTTTATTTTATGTTTTTTTTTTTTTTTCTGATTGGATGCTTCAACTTCTGAAGCAGAGCTACTTCATGACAGAATCGTTTTATTTAAATTCAAATGAGAAATGTTACAATCAATGTAAGTGACTTGGGAACCAACAATAGGGAACCAACATACACCCAGGCTACAGGCCACTAGATGGCAGCTCTGCCTTTCAGACTGTTATAGTGTATTGCAACTGCCTTAAAAATTAGTAAGGTTATTGTGGAAGTGGTTATCATTACTGAAAGTTAAGCAGATTTGCCACTAAATTTATGCACATCTGTAAAAGCATGTAAGAATAATAGGTAACACTTAAAGCCTTTATGTAAAATGTATTATAAAGAGTTATTACAGGGTATAATGCATTATAATTCTTCATAATGTGCGTTATGATACATTATATCTTGTCGTAAACAATTATATCCGAATTTAAAATGCATAGTGTAACAATGAATATATAAGTGTTATAATGTATTAACTGTGGTTACAATTATTCACGAGATTGCACAATGCATT